AAAAAAAAAAAAATGCTTTAGCCAGAATGACTGACAAAAGGAATGACAAAAGTGATATAATAATCCTTCATTCATATATAAATTACAGACAATGTTTCAGGATTTGTGTTTCTTCACTGGGGTTATAAATTTACTGTTATGTTTTACTGAGATATTATTATCTCATGTAGATTTGTCTTTTGCATTATACAAGGACTTATTGAGTCATCGTGTTCGGGACAGATGTTTCGAGTTAGCATGGCTGGTTGTTGATGTTTGTCAATAATTTGTGATGTGGGGCTTTGTACGGAGCTGTGAACGCGCCGGGTTGCAGGCTGCCGCGGCCATCTTCATCCACTTGACCCATGATGATGTAGTTAGCGCCTGCGGTGAAAAAAAACAATAAGGACCAGATGATTTTATGAGTGTGGGGGGAGTGCACAAAATATATAACGGATATACGGTATGTGTCTGCGTGTACCTCTGCGAAGCAATGGGCACTTCCTGCATTGTGACACCAATCGAACGGACATGGTCTCTCCGACTTGCGTGATACTTAGCCGCCCTGCCTTGTAAGTCCGAATGAGGGATACCCCGATGAGAAGGGTGCCCCGGGGCCCAGGGGCCAGAGAGGTCACCTTCCCGGTGATCACTACAAACAAAGTGGGCGTGGTTAGAAGGCAGCGTTTCACCTCCAGCAGGTATGAAAGCACAATGGCCGATATGGATTCAGTTACAGTCAAGATCCATGCACTACTGCGCTCTTTGTCCTCACTAGTAAGGTTATTCAGCACACTATTTTTTTCCCCACCTCTGCCTTTTATTACTCAATGATATTTTTAAATACTAGTGCCACTCTTGGCCAACTGGTATGCAGTTACAGTACTGGTAAACCACTGTGCTGCACTAGTAACACTCCTAGGCCAAACTAGTAGGCACATGACACAAGCTAATAGCCTCCGTTTGAGCATTTATTTGATATCCAGGTTAACATCCGTGAACTGGTACACTCTTTGAGCCCAGACAACTCTGAAAATAACTCTGGCATACTAGTACATACTAGGTCAGATACATGTTACTAGTGAGGCAAAACTGTGCACTAGATGAGAGCTGCACTGTACTAGTGTGACTGGTGAAGTGCTGTATGTTAACTAGTAGAATTTTACAATGTAATTTATTGAATTGAATCATT